CACGATCCCATTGCCATTCAGCTTTGGGCCCACTCTGTACTACAGAGCCTGCTGTTTCCTAATGTTGCTGTCAGAAACCCGTATTAGTGTGTTAGCCTTGGCGCAGAGCTGAACATGGCTTCTTCTCATCCACTTAGACAATGTGTAAGGGGCTTCCAGGCTGAAGCATGGTGCTTAAACAGGGAGGTTGTAGTATGTGCAGGACCATATTCATCCACCTCTCAAATCTGGGACACACCTCTCAAATCTGGGACAATTTGGGTGTGTCTAAACTACATGGCTCCATCGAGGGAGCCATGTAGATTAGGCTGATCGGCAAAGGGAAATGAAGCCGCGATTCAAATAATCGTGGCTTCATTTAAATTTAAAGGGCTGCCACGCTGAGCCAACAAACAGCTGATCAGCTGTTTGTCGGCTCAGCGTGGCAGCCATTTAAATTTAAATGAAGCCACGATTATTTGAATCGCGGCTTCATTTCCCTTTGCCGATCAGCCTAATCTACATGGCTCCATCGATGGAGCCATGTAGATTAGGCTGATCGGCAAAGGGAAATGAAGCCGCGATTCAAATAATCGTGGCTTCATTTAAATTTAAAGGGCTGCCACGCTGAGCCAACAAACAGCTGATCAGCTGTTTGTCGGCTCAGCGTGGCAGCCCTTTAAATTATTTAAATCACAGCTTCATTTCCCTTTGCCAAACAAACAAATCTACATGGCTCCGTCGACGGAGCCATGTAGTTTAGACGTATCCTTTGAGAGCGATAAGGTGGCTGAGGTCATATTTATGGTTGCACCAACTTCTGTTAGTGGAAAAGACAAGTTTTCGAGCTCCACAGAGCTCTTGCTCAGGTCCGGAGAAGGTAACCAGTCTGTCCAAGCTAAATACATGGTGGGACAGATTTGTATTCCTAAGAGATTCACATACTGTGGGAGACCAATTAAAATGAAGTGCTCGTATATAGTCATAGGACCAATAGTAGGTAGCAAGGTATGTTACAAATTGTTGTAAGGGCCATAAAACTAGGGTCTCTGTTAAGTCTTTGGCTTTTAATGATCAGCAGAGTTATGAATTTAAGTTCCCAGGCTCATCTTTTGGAGGCATTGTGTCGGTTTCCTTCGACAACAAAGGACTGAGAGGTCCGATATGGTGTGAAAAGAGCTCACCTGCAGGTGATGGTTTTTTTTAAAAAAAATATTTTTTCTGTGAGTTCTTTCAAGAGCACAGTGGTTGCCTGCACGGGTGGTGGGTAAACAGTTGGCTTGGAGAGACAAGCCCCAGTCCTGCCCCTTCCACCTACGGCTCTTCCCCTTGAATGACGCCCCTGTCCTGCGTCTCCAGTGCTCCTCAGTATGGCTTCTGGCCCCTGCCAAAGGCTAACGCCTCCCCCCAGCACTGGTCAGCTGCACAGCACTGTCTCCCCCTTTCCTCCACAGCAGCTGGCTGTCATGTATGCCCTGCTCCCACCCCAGTCCCTGTAGCACATTGGGTGGCTAGAGCATGGGTGGGCCTTTTGGGGAAGACAGTGCCTTTCCTTGCCTACATTACCTGCTGCCCATGATTGCCTGCTTTCGCCTGCATAGCTATTGCTGGAATATTTCCACTGGGACCTAAGGATCTTGCAAGGTATGTTGGTGGGGGAAGAGGTATTCATCAACATAACGGTAGAGATGTCTGCAGGTTTTACATCTCTGGCTCTGGCAGGGCCTGTTGCTGCTTTGAGCTGGTGCATCCTGATCAGTGGGGAGCTTGTTTCAGATGATGAGCCTGGCACTGTTGGTGGGAGGGGAGGAATTTGTAGGCCGGAAGATTAGGTTATGGCAAGATTTTTTTCAGAAGGCAGTGTGGGCGGACACCTCTCCTGTTCCTCCTTATTGTCATGTCCATGAATTTCTCCAGCTTTTCTCCTTGGTCTCCTGTAAATAGCTATTGTTAATATTTTGTAGTTTTATATTTTTATATTCGTATAGTTAGAATTTTGTAGTTTTTGAGGCTTGGGGTTCCCGCCCCATTCTGGTCAGAAGACTTGTAAGCAGGCCTCACAAAGCGCATGTGAGTGGTTCCTGCCCCGTTCTGGTCAGAAGCCTTGTAAGCAGGCCTCACAAAGCGCATGTGAGGGATGTGTTCACAGATCTCCTAACTGAAATGCTGTGTCCCTACGCCAGATTTACACTGATCTCTGTCAAGCTTCCCTGCCGAGGGTCAGGCAGGTGCTTGCCTCTTGGTTCTGTGTAAGTGAGTGCAGCCAGTGAAAGACTGTCAGGTGATGCTCAGTGGAAATAGGATTCACTTGCCTTGTTTATCTTAATGAAACCTGAGCTACTTGGGAAGACATCGGACTCTGAAAGCTATGCAAGGGCAGGAAGTGCTTTAGCAAAAGATAACCTTGAGAGTGTTTGTGCTGGCTGGCCAAGATCTTTGTTTGCATGCTGACCCCTTCTGACAGCTCTGGACATTGCATTTGTATTTGAACTAGATAGCTTTCTCTTGACCTCATGTGACCCATGTGGTGAGAATTGTGAGTGTTCCTCCTTTCCTGGGGTGTTTGACTTGTCTATCTTTGTTTGGAAACTTCTACATAGGCATTGTGACTTGCTCTTGTTTTTATAAAACAGCATGTACATTTATAGTGTTAAATACGTGGCTTGTAATCATAAGAATGGGCCAAATCTATCCTGGATTTAAGTCCCCGGGAATCCAAGTTACATCAGAGTTTAAATATGGTATAATACCAGTAAATTGCTTGTTAATATCTTTACATGGAAGTTTCCAGGATATGCATGTGGTAGGTCCTTAGAAGAGATAAAGCTTCACAATTTATGAGGCATTGGAATCACCAGCAGTTTTTCAAACACAGCTGCAGTTGACAGCTCTCATGATGTTTGGTGTTTCTCTCAAAGTCCCCAATGCCTGATTTTTCTGTTTATATGAACATTTTGGCTTTTAAATAAAAATAAAACATTTTAGATCTTGTGATTGTGCAGAAAACCTTGATTTTATGACCTGAGTGCACCTTGAAGGCTCAAAAGCCTGAAGGCAAATAAAAAACCCAGCACTTTTTTTATTTCAAAGCTCATGAATTTAAATCCAGTTTCTTGATATTTGTGGGGATCCTGATTTTTGAATGCTTGGGTCTGCTACTACTCAATCACTTGCCTTAAAAAAACGTGTTTAAATTGAAGTTGGGGGGGAGGGGGGGGAACCCAGCTCTGTTAATTTCATCTCTATTCAAAAAGGAAGGAAACAATGTCTGCCAAAATACAACTTTTTAACACTGCCCTACTCCCCGCCGCCAACAAAGAAACCCACCTCTGAATGAAACCCATGGAGAGAAGCAAAGACTGTTAACCACAGTTAATTAAAAATCTATTAAAATAAAAACTATGGGAGGCTCATGTTTTGTTTTGTTTAAAGAGCAATAGATTTTAGATGGTGCAGTAGAGCATTTCAGTAACAGAATAAGCATGGGGAAGAAATGCATGTGTGCACTATCCCAGGCAGTGGCACGTAGACCTTGTACAGAGAGAGAGAGATTCTATAACAATAGTTTTCAAACTAGGGATTGTGACCCAGAAGTGGGTCATGGAATGTCAGGCACTGGGTCTCGTTGCTGCAAGGGGATCAGGTGACCAGCAGGGTGCTAAGGCAGCTCCCTGACTGTCCTGGCACTGCAGACTGCACTGCTCCCCAGGGGTGGCTGGCAGCAGGCCTGGCTTCTAGATGGGGATTGGGAAAAGGGAGAGTGCACAAGGCTCCGCACACTACCCCTGCCCCGAGCACTAGCTCTGCACTCTCATTGGCTGGGAAGACTACCTTAGCACCTCCACTGCACTGCTGATTGGGAGCTGCTCAAAGTAAGCCTCTCCTGCCCCGGCCCTGATCCTCCCCCGAAAGGGGGAGCCCCCATGCACCCCAAATCTCTCACCCTCAGCCCCACCCTGGAGCTTGCACTCTGGTCACATTATGTCGGGTCGTGGGCATCAACAATTTTCTTCAACTGGGTCATGAGAAAAAGAATTTGAAAACCGCTGCTCTGCAGCCTTCACTGAGAGCCCGGTGGCTTTGAGCTCCTGCTGGCTCCAGCACTGAGCTCCAGAGGTCCCAGGTTGGGTTCTGCCTGTCGGCATTGCACATGCAGTAGCCCCAGGTTCTCTAACTTTCCATAGTTGTGTGATATCTTAGAAACAAGTGTCTATGGGCCCCTCCTCGGCCACTTGTGATGCCAAAACTTCCCATTGGCAGCTGCAGTAGTTGCTTACATGGAAAAGTAGAGGAACAGAATAACTAATGTATCCCCGCTAACTTTGCACACTGCCTAAGAACTAGAGTGGTGCTTGAACAATTTGTATAGTGGGGAGGAAGCAGGCCTGAGAGCTATTGGACCAAACTGCAAGCCTTGTCATGGGAAGAAGTGCGGCAGCACCCTTAATTCCAGCACCCATGAATAGCTGTGAAGGAGGGGTGCTAACTAAATGTAACCAACCAGCCTTTATTGGCACATAAACAAGCACTCCACGGGCTGTCAGTCATCTATGAACCCATGCAGCTGTCCGGTGTACAATACCAAACCTTTTAAACAGCAGATGACGACAGATCCGCAGCTACTTAGGGCTTCAGTGCACATCACGATCATTGAGTATAGATCTTAGAACGAACTGGCTCTTGCCAAGTGAGTAAAGGAGTATGTTTGTTAGCAGCTAGCAGGTTTAAAGCATGCTGTAGGGCAGATGCAGTTCCATCTATGAAGGGCAGCAGTAATTACACATGCTAGCCCTTGCCAGCAAAACATGGTTTTTGCTGAGTACATTCTGTGAAGTCTTGTAAGTCTTGTATTTTTCCCGTAAAATGCTGCTTCGTTGTCTCTTTAACCTTTTAATTCTCTCTTGTAGGTATTTTGATTTATTTGTTATGTTGTTGCTGCAGCAGCATGTGTGTCTTACCAAGAGGGGCCTTTATAGTCATTGCTACTTTATTAATACAATTTTTCACTGCTTCTTCTTTAGCTGGCACCAGAAAACACTCTGATGTCCTTCCAGAAAGCAGTGGAGCAGAAAACATATGGAGTACAAGCTGACATAACGATAAGGCAAGTCTGTGTAACTGCTTTGAGTGCAAGGGTTTTCTTTAGTGTCAGGTCTAACCCAGACCTCTAGATCTGCTTTGTTTTGGTTCCAGAACTGAATTTTGCCAGTTACATTTTCCAGTGCAGCATCAGTAGCATCCTTTGAGAAGGCATCTCAGAAAGTGTGCTCATACCTTCTCATATGCTGCTATTTGTAAAGTATGTACATCATTAGTCATTTGGCTGGCACAATGATTAAAGATTAAATTATAGAATAAACCACGCTTTCTATTGGTCTTCCTATCAAGGGACAAAATTTACAGCAGGGTCCTTCTTGTAGATATTTTGTTTTTTTGTCACTATGCTTGCCAAACTTCACCCCCTCCCCTACCCATCCCCAGGGTAGGTTTCTGGCTGGACAGAGGGTACAGGAGCAGGCTGGCAGGAGGGAGCAGGAGCAGGCTGAGGGTAGGTGTCTGGCCAGGGGGGAGGGTGCAGTAGTGGGATGGAAGTGCAGAGTCCCGGTGAGCAAGGAGTGGGGGAGGGGGGGGTGAGGGCTCAGCATGGGGAGTATGAGTCAGCAGGCTAGGGGTGCAGGGTCGCGGCAGAGAGGATGTGTGAGGGGGCTGAGGGTGCAGGGTCGGTGTGTGAGGGGGCTAGAGGTGTGGGAAGGTGGGGAGGCCAAGAGGCTCACAGCTCCCGCCTCCCAGGAATACCATGAATGAAGAGGTTGGGAGTTTGGGGTCTTGGCTTGGTGGTGATATGAGTGAACAGGCTGGGGGTTCAGGGTCAGCCGGGGTTAGGGTTAGGGTTAGCTGCGTGGCTCGCCCGGCTCACCAGAGCACCGGGGGAGGGGGCGGGGGGAGGACGCAGCTCCTGGAGCACTGGGAGGGTGGGGAGGAGACTGCATTTCTTGCAGCTCCTTTGAGCACCGGGGAGAGGGAGGCCACATGACATGATGCTGTCACTCTGTCCATCCACAGGGAATTTAAAATAAATATATATAGAGAGAGGGAGAGGGGCTGAGGCTGTTTTGATCTAGTCTGGCAGCCTTCTCCAAAGGAATACAGAGAACCTGCTTGTAAAGAGCTTGGCTATAGTGAATTTCTGCTTGCAGTGAAGAAGAGTGAAAGTCTGACATTTTTTCATTTCATTGCACAGCGTCGTCCCCCCCCCCCCCCCCCCAGCACACACACCATGGACAATGTACCAGCTCAGACACAAAATCCTTTTGCTTTCCTTTGCTGTCATGCTAAAGTTGATGCAAATGGAATTAGATTTTATTTGCCCATCATGCGTCCTCCACTCCCTAACCCCCCGAAAAAGAAAAAAGTCTCTGCAGGGATGTGTTTGACCAGGTTGAGTTTGGTGGAGTCTTTGAAAAAGCAGAGTTATTCCCATGTAAACAGTGTCTATGGGAATTTTCCGCATTTAATTTTCCCATATCTCCTAGATCTCTTAAAACTAGATATTTTGTTTGTGTGGGTTTTTTTCATACATGTACAACATATACACATTTGCAGAAACAGATTGGACAGTGTCTGTAGAACAAACTTCATTCAAACAGCGGGAGGCAAAATTCCCAAGGGACATTTTTAAGTATGATTGTGTATTACAGTTATTATGTTAGCACCTTGCATCAGAAGTCAGGCTCAGGGCCCTGTAGTAGAACTGCTGTGTACGAACACAGAGTAGGACAGTCCTGGTCCCAAGGAGCTAATTTAAGGCAGGGGGCAGCAGTGAGTGTAACAAAGAATAAGAAGCAGCCTGGGAGAGAGGCTATGTGCAAGGTTAAATGGAAGTTTATTTTTAATTAGAAGATATAAATCACAGGCAAATATCAGAAACTCCTGCTTCCTGCTGCTTCTTTTGGAACTTGCACTTTTGGACCAAACGGAAGATTGTTAAATAGAAGCTATAAAATGGGAGAGCATCACAGTGTTGAAGAACTTGATTAATGCTATTCATTAGATTTCTCCTCGATCTGCATGCAACAAAAACGGATGAAGTGAAATAGACGAATAGGACACAGAAAAAAAGGAACTGAGAGAAAAGAGTCCAAGCAAAATGGGAAAGGGCTAGCAAGAGAGGACTCACTAACATGTGAGACGTGAATGCATAGCAAACCGCATTCAGAAAAGACCTGGAGAATCTCTCGGGGTTGTATGCCCAAGAGCCAGGCTGAATCCTGGAGAAGATTATTTTTATTTCTGTTATTAAGTTAGATGCTAAATCCAATTCCCACTCTTCCCATGGGGGAGGATGTAGATTTTTGATGGTTTCATTTTGCTGCACTAAAAGTCAGTGACCCTCTCTTTCTTGTCTAATAATGACACCGCATTTGCATACAGCGTGGATCAGGATTCATACATAATCTGATGCTAAGAAATGGCTTGAAATTAAGCCATCTGAAAGGCATCGCTGTGGTAAAAGCTAGACTTGTGGGCTGCACAGTTTGAACATCAGGGCTTCCATTTTGCAATCATTGTCTAGCAGCAGACAGATTTAAACACTAATGGAAGTTCTTGTCCCCTGTAGCGAGAGGTCATTCTGCAATGCTGAAGGACAAGTCAGGGTCGAAAGCATCTTAATCCCTTTAGAATCATTCAGAAGTTAATTCACTCACTGTTGCAAGGAGAATACCATTGGTCTGGAAGCAAAATAATCGCTTGTGCATCAGGGCTGATCCTGATTGCTGTGCTTAGCTCTTCTAACAGGGTGAGCTGACCTGCCTGAAGAGTTGAGTTGAATGTATCATTCAAGCCCCCTGAGCCTAGACCAGATCATCCTGCTGCACTGGCAGCCTTGTGACAGAGCTGCTAAGCTCTCTGCTGCCCCCTGCAGGAGAAGCCTGATCTGCACGTCCACTGAAAAGTTTTCGTCTTCCCTGCCTCCATTGGAGCACCGCAGCTGTATGGTTCCTTGAGATCATGCCCCCCTGGTGTCAGGAAATGTGACCCATAGGGTCTGTATGAAGTCAGGGCTCCACTGCTTTTTTTACCCATGCATCTTTGTACAGTGCTACTAGCCCAGGGCTCGTGCTTTCCAAATGACAATGCTCCTGCATGGGGCCAACGAGGGGATAGAGAGGAAAGAGAATGCCATGCAGGGTTTCTGCATCACACTATGGTGGTTGAAGATGTCTGAGATCACTGTACTGAGAGAAGGACTGAGTCTTAGGTTCCTGTCTACCTTAAACATTCAACAGGCGTAATTCCATGTCTGCTTGGTAATATTAAACCCTGTGGAAGACCTTTAGATGTTGAGGCATGGTGTGCTGCTGCCGGGACTGGTGCTGTGTCAGCGTGTTGCTTTGGGTGGAAATGGGGGGAGGAAGGGAAGGAGGCAGTTGATATAATTCATTGCTGGAAATAGAAAACAAGATTTGAGAAACCTTTCAGATAAGGGCCTCCTTAGGCAGTGGCTGAGTAGGAACTGCGTTTGCTCTGTCAACTAAAGTAGGTCTTTGTACTGCTCCCAGCTCAAGGCAGAAGTCTTGGCAGAATCCCAATTTGATTCAAATGGGTTTCACTGTTCACGCTGCCTGTATCCAAGGTCTTTCTCCTGAGTCTCTCTGCAGTGGGGATCTGTGCTTTGAAACCCCTGGCCTTTTCCAGAGCTTTGTCCCACACGCCTCAGGCCAGCAGGTGACTGGAGGTGTGTGGAAGCAGCTTCCCCACTGTGAACATCACATCTATAGCCTTATACTTTCCAAAGGCTTTGCTGCACCACTCCGTGGTAGATTTCAAACCTCCGCAGCAAAGAATTCTCATCCACAGGTCTTTGACCCCTGTGGGGCCCTTTTTTTTAATGTTGCCACTCTTCTGTCATCATCTTTGAAGTGTTGGTTAAACACCTGGGCACTATATGGTCTCTGGGCCCTATATAAATACGGCGATTTTCCTTCATGGGGCAAAATTCCGTTCACGGTATCTGCCTCTTATGCAGTCGCTTTTATAGATGCTGTATTCAGCACACCTGAATCTAGTTCACCTCTCTAGGCTGATCCATATCTTCAGGGTGTGTGTGTGTGTGTGTGTGTGTGTGTGTGTGTGTGTGTGTGTGTGTGTGTGTGCGCGCGCACCTCTCTAGGCTGACCCATATCTTCAGAGGAAGAGGGTGTGTGTGTGTGTGTGTGTGTGTGTGTGTGGTTAGAAAAGCAACTTAATAAAAATAACTTTTCAGCTCAGCTCATTTGCAGCCTGGTCTGCATTATAAGTATATCTGTTTTTTCTGACCAAAACATGGACCTTCATTCCTCTGGTTTTAGCACTGCAGAGTCAGTACACCTGTGGACATCAAGGGATCCCTTTCTGGCTCACACATCTGCAAGAAAATTGTTCACTAAGTTCAGGTTGCAGAACCTTTCTCAGGCAGCTGGAACGTGGGATATTATTGTGTAGAAAATGATCCTTTTCCTTGTAGGCTGACAAATGGCACTATGGGGTTTTATCTTGACGCCTCACGTTGACTCCAGATCTGCTCAGAGCAGAGCCATGTTTTAAAGCCAAGGTTACTTCTCCTTTTGAAAAAGTTTGTAATGTAATGGGAGACAGACCGGCATAGTGTGATCACAGGCTTAAGAACCAAAGTGCTATTCCTAGCTCTAAACTATCTCCATCCGGGGTGAGTCACCGGGTCCTCTTTCTAGTTTTCCCATCTGTGGAATGGGAATACAGTAATTCCTCATTTAACACTCTAGATATGTTTCAGAAAATGATCATGTTAAGTGAAAATGTGTTATGTGGGGTCAATTTTCCCATTGAAAATATTGGGAAAGGTGGAGGTTGTGTTTCAAGCGGTGGTGTCTGTTGGGACCAGGACGTAAGGTTGGGGGAGAAAGGGGACTGGGTTACAGCAGGGAGGGTAGGTGTTTGGCTCTGGGGAAGGGAAAGGGAGGAGAGGGGAGGGGGATTGAGTTGGGAGTATGCCCCTGTGATGGGTCTGCCGGGACCCACGCTGCGTCCAGTGAGGGGGGGTCGCCGGGGAAAAGCATGGCGAGCGGCGAACCCTCCACCACTTTGCAGGGAGGCGGGAGAAGCCCCGCACAGCCACCGGCGATGGGCCGGCTGGGGAAACCCAGCTGCTGGCCTGCAAGTGGGGGCGCAGGAGGGGGGAGCAAGGCGTCTGGTGAGAGGGAGTCAGCGGGGAATGGCGCGGCGAGCGGTGAGCCATGTTATTCCGGGAATGGTCGTATAATTCAAAAAATGTTCTCTAAAAAAAAAATCATGCTATTGCGAAAACGTGTTAAGCGGGCACGTGTTAAATGAGGAATTACTGAACTTCACAGGACCAGACATTTAACTGGCTCATGTTTGGAGAGTTTTTCATGGTCTCTAAAACTTTTTTGCTGTTGCTGAGTAGCAGTAGTTTGTCTGTTTAGTGCAAGGTAAATCTCAAAAGCCTTGCCTGGATTTCATATTTGCTTCGGATCTTTATTAGAACTTTTTTGCAAACTTGGGTTGGTAATCTTGTGAAGGTAGGTTTTCTTGTGAGGTCCCTCTGCATCTTCTGCTTCTGAACTGTGCCTCTTGTGATATTTGCATGCTTCCAGCTCCAGCCTAATCTTGGAAGTGCAGAAGCAGATCAAAATGACAAATGAATTATTAAAGAATGCCCAAGAACTAAGCCTGGTTAGTTAACCTTTGTCCTCCATTCCCACTACACAGCTCCTGTCATTTGTTACTTATAGGATAATGTTTCTGAAAAGTGCCTAGGTAAGATGCTAAATACCATTTTCAAAAATGACTTAGGCCATTTCTACACTTACATGTAGAGTATAAACATTGCATGCCCCCCGGCATGGGCTTAAATAGCAATGTAGATGTTGAGGCAAGGCTAACGTGAGTAAAGACATGGCATAACCTTATGGTAGGTACCCTAAAGCACTGTCTATCCACCCAAGCCATGGGGAGAGGCTCTAGCAGTGGGAAAAGGCTCTGGCAGTGAAGAGACAGCCTCCTTCCAACCCCTTCCCTCGCTGCAGGCATCTTTCCTTGCTGCACCACCTGTGTCAGAGACTTGCACTGCAGTGTGTAGCTACATGTACCCTTCATACCATCACCACCAGTACAGACTCTGTGTTAGACACTTAATGATCTAAAACTTATTGAAATTCTGTGGGACTTGAGTGTCCTATATGGGGAAATTGGGGTCCTAATTAATTCAGATGTATTTTAAAATTTTATCCTTAGTCTAATTTTTGTTTGTAAGATTTTTAGGGCAGGAAGTATTTGCTGTACAGCTATATAAAGAGCCTCCCATGCTAAAACAAAATTTACAAGATTTATAATGAATGTGCAGTGTTTTCTGGGCCTCAGTAGGACGGGGTTAGTTTTTGGCAATCGTTCAGATGTGGAGTTCTGTTCTTCTACAAGTTAGTTTACCAAATCCTAAGAGAAACTCTAAGGTAAGGGTAGAGCTGTGCAAACCTTTAAAAAAATTAATGGAGATTGCCTATCTCCTAGAACTAGCAGGCACCTTGAAAGGTCATTGAGTCTAGTCCCCTGCCTTCACAGCAGGAGCAAGTACCATCCCTAACACATTTTTGCCCCAAATCCCTAAGTGGCCTCTGCAAGGATTGAACTCACAACTTTTGGTTTAGTAGGCCAATGCTCAAACCACTGAGCTATCCTTCCCCCAACCTTACAATGGATGAAGCATTTGACGCCTACAAAATTAATTGAGATCTTAACCACATTTTAATCCTGGTCTGAAAAGCTGGGGAGAGGATGGAATGGAGACCAACTCCTCTTCTCCAGTATTGTATATGTGCTAACTAATATGGATAGGTTAACAGAGATGCTTCTTTACTTTGCAGTTACGATGGCGTGCCGTTCCTTATGCACGACAGGACGCTCAGGAGGACAACGAATGTGAAGAAAGTGTTTCCAGAGCGGGCCAAAGAGCATTCTTCCATGTTCAACTGGACTGACTTGGAGAGGCTTAACGCAGGAGAATGGTTCCTAGAGGTGCGTCGCTCATGTACTGAAGATAGGGTCCTATCATCTGAAGCAGGGGGGATGCTGCGTGCCCTGCATCCCAAGTCAGGACATTGGCTGAACATTCATGCTACAGACCCTGTCAGACAGATGAGAGTGTTGCCGTCCTTTTAATGAAAGGGTTTGATGAAGTGTGACTAGACCAAACCAGTCTTCTCCTGGCATGCTCAATGAATGGCCTCCCATTCGACTCTGCCACACGGCACCAAGCAACATAGCTCACCATTTTTGTTGATTGTTTGGAACATTTCCATAGCCAATTCTGGCCTGTCAAATGAAGGGATCTTCCAGTGACCCCTGCCAGGGTTCTAACATGGAATGCCCTAATGTTGGCCTGTGTTTGCGCATCCGGAAACCTGGCTTGTGTGCACAAAAACCTTTGATTTTGCATTTGTATCTGCTGGGGAGTGTTGTGGACTAAGAGTAAAGAAACCTCTGCTCTAAAACTGCTTAGCCATACAGCTGCTTGAGGACATGGGCAAGCCACTTAGACTGTTTCTCAGTTCCCCATTTTATAGATGAGGCTAATACAACATAAAAGTGTTTGGCACTAATAATTATGGTTACTGCTGTGTGTTCTCCTATAGAAGGCCCATAAATATTACTTCACATCAGTCAAAAGCTTCCTCTATCCTGGTATTATACAGAGGTATAGAAGAGAGGTGTTTATACTGAATCAGATCCTTCCAGGTAATATAGCTCTTGTCCTTTTTTGCTAAACTCCTCTTGATAAAAGTATCCATGACATGCTGCAAAAACACAGAAAGCAGGCCATAGCCTATCAAGTACTAATGTTTTTAAAATCCTTAATACAATTTGCCAGTTCAGTAGCAGTGTCTCCTCTTTATTTTGCTTTTCATAACCCTTAGCAAGCCTTTCTGTGGTGGGGACTTAAATGGACTAAAATGTAAATAATATGGTGAGGTGAATGGATTCTGTGCAGAAAAGGTCTCCGTTTTTCTATCAAACACCATTTCTTTCCTTATTCAGCTGGGGGCTGGCGACAGATTAAATTGCTGCTGAGTTTAATAGAGATTACACCGAGGGTTAATGGAAGGTGATGCTCAAATGTAATTAATATATCCCAGCTCCTTTGCACTGTCAGACAAGGAGCCCCTGCAGACTGCACAGTGTAATTGGGGACCGGCAGCGCTGGATCCATCCGAAGTGACTTGTTAAAAGTGGCATCTAGCATTTCCTCTGCCACCACATTCGTCCAGCAGTGCCTCTATCATGCAGCAACCAGTTATGCGCTAACCTGAAATGCCAAATTCACTCTGGTAATCACGGTCTGTGGTGTCATTTGCACCGTTGTCTATCATTGTGCAGCTCTTTTCTTCGTTAGAGAGCGACAGCGATGAGGGCAGCCCATATAAACCAAGCAATGTGGGGAACATACTGCCAGAACACTTCATTATCCAGTGTGTAACTGGCAATGGTTTGCCCTTCTCAGTCCTAGGCCTGCAGAGTGAAGTCTGTTTGAGTGAGGTTGAGCTCCCATGCTTGGGTGTCCAACACAAAACACCCAGATAACTTCCTGCCACATGGGAAGAATGTCTAATGTAGTGGTCCCTCAAGAGGGGAGTGGAGGAATATTTGGCAGGTGTGTCAGTTCCCACGGTGGGCGGGGAGGGAGTGCTGTCCAGCCGACGCTCTGGCCACACCCCCAGCTCTGCTCAGCCCCTTTCTCCAGCCTCAGCCGCAGCTCCTTTGACCCCCTGGCTCCTCCACAGCTCCACCTTCAGCCCTAGCTCTTCTCTTGAGCCAACTTTGCATTAATGGAGTGGGGGAGAGGAGGGCGGAGAGATTCCATTACTTGGTAAGTTGGGGTATGACAGGAGAAGTTTAAGCACTACTGGTCTGAAGGGTCAGCACAAAACTTGCTTTTATCACTGAAGTGCTGCTTTCTGCTAGTGCGTCCCCTGGTTGCCTTCTCCTTACTCTTTGCTGTTACAAAATGTTTAGATGGTCTTAAACCAAGGCACCCATGATGATAGGCGATATTTAGCACTCACATAGCACTTTTCATCCAAGAATTCCAAAGCAGTTTACAAAGGATGGCAAGACCTCCCTGGTCTGGCACCCTTGGAGCCTGCCTGGTCCTGAATGAGGGAGTTTGCCAGACCAGGAGAGGTCAGTGCCTTTCTGGGCACTGACCCCCTACTCCCAAGCTTACTTCCCAGCCACCAGACTCCACTCCTGGTCCAGCTGCACTCCCAGCCATCGGCCCCTCTGCTGCCGGACTCCCAGCTGGTCCCCCACTCCGAGCTGCTGGGACTCTCTGGTCTGGCAACATCCATGGTCTTGCTGGATCATGGATGTTGCCAGACCAGAAAGTCCTGAACCAGAGAGGTGCAAGTGTATAACCTGCACCCACGGAAAACTTCTTTCATGACCCCCTATTGGGTCAGCAATTGCTACAGGTTGATTATTCCCTCCAGTGTGAAGTTTTAAATCTCTTCCAAAATTCTTTTGATTTTTCAATCTTCACTAGAATTGACTCTTCAGGCTAGGAGACAAAAGTAAATCAAGATTCAATGGATGGAAATAAGGTGCAGATTTTTAACAGGGAGCATAATTAATAAAGTCCTGCGGATCCACAGATATCCACTTTATATCTGTTGGGCTATGTCTACACAGCAGTGCTATTTATCTCGAAATAGCTATTTTGTGTCTTTTGAGCGTGCCCATTATTTTGAAATATAATGGGCTCGCTATTCTGATATCCCTGTAAACCTCATTCCACAAGGAGTAAGGGATGTTTCAGAATAGCGATTTATTTCAAAATAAGTTCACTGTAGACAGCACCAAATTTCAAAATAAGCTGTTTCAAAATTGACTCGCAATAAGCTACACAATTTGCATAGTTCAAATTGTGTAGCTCATTTCAAGCTAAGGGTGCAGTGCAGACGTACCCTTGGTGTCCATGGCTCATATTTGTGGATGGGGCTGCATATATGGATACAAATTTTGTATCTAGAACCCTGCGAATTTGAAAATATCTACTTTATATCCACGGGTATCCTCATCTGCAGATGATGCGGATATCCATGGATCATTTTTGCAGTTGCAGACGCAGATACCAATTTTGTATCCATCTACTAATTAACCAATGGAGCAACTTACCAAAGCTCATGGTGGATCCTCCATCACTGGGGACTTTTAAATCAATATTAGATGTTTTTCTAAAGGATCTGCTCTAGTTCAAGTAGGAATAAATTTAGGGAAGTCTTATGGATGCATTAACAGGTGTGTTGTGAGCAAGACATGAGAAGTCATTCTTCTGCTCTACTCTGCGCTGATTAGGCCTCAGTTGGAGTCTTGTGTTCAGTTCTTGTGTCACATTTCAAGAAAGATGTGGAGAAATTGAAGAAGGTTCAGAGAAAAGCAACAAGAATTATTAAAGGTCTAGAGAACATGACCGATGAAGGAAGACTAAAAGAATTGGGCTTGTTTATTTTGGAAAGGAGAAAACTGAGAGGGGACATGATAGCAGTTTTCAGGTATCTAAAAGAGGTGTCACAAGGAGGAAGGAGAAAAATTATTCTCCTTGGACTCTGATGATAGGACAAGAAGCAATGGGCTTAAACTGCAGCAAGGGAGGTTTAGGTTGGACATTAGGAATAACTTCCTAACTGTCAGGGTGGTTAAACACTGGAATAAGTTGCCTAGGGAGGTTGTGGAATCTCCATCGCTGGAGATATTTAAGATCAGGTTGGATAGACAGTACTGGGTCCTGCCGTGAGGGCAGGGACCTGGACTTGATGACTTCTCAAGATCCCTTCCAGTTCTAGTGTTCTATGGTTCTATGGCCTGCATTATACAGGAGTTCAGACTAGATAAACACAGTGCCTCAAATCTATAAATCTGGATATTCTGTGTATTCATATGAGTATCCAAGCCTAGTAAACTCTTGACCTCTGTGATGTCTTAAGGAAGTGAGTTCCACAGGCTAATTAATATTTCCTTCATCTGTTTTGAATTTTCCACCTGTTTCATTAAATGTCCCTTTGTTCCTGTGTTCTGAAATGGGCTCAATTAGATGTTCACAAATGTGTTTTCGTGCCCTTGATCATTCTTCTCACCCATTTCTAACCCCTTTATATTGATACTGTATCCTATGAGATGAGGTGATCAGAAATGCACCCAGGACTTCTGGTAAGAGCATGCATCAGACCCTCCAATGGGAAAACTGAACCATAGGGAGAACTTACCCAAAGTTGTTCAATAAGTCAATATCAGAACTGAAAATAGAAGCCATCTCTCCTGGCACCTAGTTCTTTGCCTTATTGAATGGGATCACACTGTCTCCTGGTGGGAGAGACTTAGCTTGACTTTGAATTCTTGGATTGAGACCTATCAATAGAGCTGGGTGGGAAGTGGTTTCCCCCTTGGTGAACGTTTCTGAGATTTCAAATATGGTTCCTGCTCCGGGATGAAATCGAGGCGAAAAAGTGCGAGTAAGGGGGAAGGAGAGAGAGGTCCCAGAATACCCAATAGCCCAGAGTCCTCACCGGGGATGTGTGAGCTGAGATTTACCTCTGCCTGATACAGAGCAAGGACTTGGACCCTGGGGCTCCGACCTTCCCAGTGACTGTTCCTGATCACCGGGCTACTGGGCATTCTGAGGTCTGGGTTGCCTCTCACTTTCTGGCCAACAATTCCATCCTGGACCTGAGAAGCCTTCCTGGCTAAAGCTGAATTGAAATGGACCCTTTCCTATGAAAATGGTCTATTTGGATGAAACGGTATTTTCGGGCAAAAAAAATTGTTTTGTTGGAAAAATCTTGGTCAGCGTTCCCTAACTGGTTGGCTTGTCACAAGGCAGATTTCAGAAGCAGCTGCCACCACGATGTGGGCAGAAAATGAGTCCTGTCTGCCTTGTGTCACAGCAGAGGCCCCCATGGGCATCGCAATAACTCTGACACTTGTTTGTTTTCAGAGTGACCCCTTCTGGACGGCTGGCTCCCTCTCGGATTCAGATTACCTGCAAGCTGCCAACCAGTCGGTCTGTAAGCTGGCTGATATGTTGCAGATCGCCAAAGACAACACGTCCGTGATCTTGAACTTTCAGGACCTGCCCCACGACCATCCCTACTACAGCACTTACATCAACATTACCCTGCAAACCATACTGGAGTCAGGGATCCAGCAGCAGGCAGTAAGTCCTGCCGTGCTTTGGAAACAGAGGCTCAGGGACTGGCTCTTTCCAGCTCAAAGGACGAGCAGTTGCTTTAGTAACTGGAGAAATCAGGGTTCTGTGCAGGAGACTCATTTCTGGCCAGTTTTCCTTCCCCTGCCATAGCGGCTTTTGGCATCCTCTGTGCTTACCTGTAGTGACACCGTGCTACCCCTTGCCCAATGCTAATGTGCACCTTCTAGCACACACAGAAAGGCTCACTCATTCTCTTGCACTGCCGTCTTGTACTGAGGGCACTGTGTGGGGGTGCTCCAGGATTTGGGGCTTCCAGGGCTCAGGCAGAGAAGGAAGGATGCAGGCAGGATGGCATCCCCATGCCAAAGGCAGCTTGACCCTGATGTTCTGAGAGGCTGAATGGTGCTGAGTCCTGCCACAGGGAGCGTGGGGGGCAGAGACAATTGCCGACCTCTTCACGTGAGTGGATGCGCCAAAGCACTCCCCTCTCTGCCCAACGGCAGGAGCAAGTGAGCTGCCTCTAGCACAAGACAGCTCCTTCCTGGGTGAAGAGCCCATGCCCAGAGCCAGATTTCAGTACAAAAGTGAAGGGAATCCTCCCTCTCTGGCAGGGGCAGCCTCCATCAGTTCCAGCCTCTCCCCACCTTTCCAGGAACTGTTCCCCTTTGGCCAAGGGGTTAGCAATATCCGGCATCTTGCTGGGCGGTGGTTTCTGTTTGGATGAGAAATCAGTGATAGAGGCAGGGTTTCTTAGTGTGATCTCTTTATTAATAGAACATGCTCATGGTCCTGTTCCCCTGAACAGAAATAGGAACAAACCTGCACACAGGCAGCTCGTGCTGGCAGAAATCCCATCCCAAAGAAGGGCTGTCAGTCTGCCTTTGCTTCTCCCCAGAGCTGGAAGGGTCCTGCTTGCTCACTCACTCCACTGGCTTCTCACCCCACTGCCTAGGAATCCCTGTTAGCTGCACGAGTTCCAGACATCTGCTCTCTTCCTTTAAGCAGCCGTGCTTTCATGTGGGAGAAGCTGGAAGTGACAGGAGCTACGGCTGAGGGAAAATTCCCATTTCCCAGGTTCAAACCTTGGGGCCTCCAGGCAGCTTTTTTAAATGTGTGATGTGCTCAGCCCAGCCAAAATGGGAAACATCTGATTTCCTCCTGCCTCCCCCTCTGATTTTAAATTGTTGAAAGTAGCTTAAAGTCACACGTGCTGATGTGCTAAGCAGCTGCACATTGTGTGACTGAAATATTTCAGACTTTCCAATTAGGTGAATAATACATATGTATGCAGAGAAAAATGGAAATGTTTAGCAATCACACTTATGAAATGATTAGCCTGGAGGAAGGATCCATTTTTAGCTTCCATCTGTCTTTCTAATGACTACTGCTGCCATGCGAGTTTCAATTAACTATGAGCCCCCTCCTCTAGCTCTTCTTTCTGTGAGCCTGTTTGAATCTCCATCAGCTTTCCTGGAGCTCATTTCCCCACAAGGAGAATCGTGTTCCCCTCGTTCTAAGTGAACGGGTGAGCTAATGCAAAGAGATGAACAGAATAATTAGTAAAGTAGAGCTCTGGGCAGTGAGAAGAAAATCCATTTTGATGCACTTTGCCTAGTTAGATCTGAACACCTTTGCTTCAGAATTCCAGCCTAGCTGACTGAAAATGTGCCTAATCTGCTTTAATTTGCCTCATGCATGATTAGATTATCATTGATTAGTTATTCTTATTGAGTAATAGAATTTAAGGCCAGAAGAAACCAATATGGTCATCTGGTCTGATTTCCTGCATAACACCAGTCAAAGATTTTCACTCTGGGTATGTCTACACTACAGAGTTTTGTTGGAAAAACAGCTGTTTTTCTGACAAAACTTGAGGAACGTCCACACTGCAATTGCATTTTTCCACAAGAAAATTGAAAGAACAGAGGGGGTTTTCTGGCATTGGTAATCCTCTTTCTACGAGGAAGAAGCCTTTTTGTGAAAAAGCTTTCGCAAAAAGGAGTGTGTGGTCGGGGAAGAAGGAGTATTTTTGGAAGAAGAGGAAAGAGGAAAAAGCACAGGTGCCCTAGTGGCCATTCCATTCATAGCAATCACAGCTTACATGCGAGAGAGCGTCCATTCCCTCTGAATGCTCTCTTTCGAAAAAGCAGATTGCTTTTTCGATGCACTTTGCAGTGTGGATGCTCTCTTTCGGAAGAAGTTTTTCTGGAAAATCTCTTCCGAGAAAAGCTTCTTTTGAAAGAAGCCTGTAGTCTAGATGTAGCCTCAGTAATTCCTGCATCAAGCCCATGCCTTGTGACTGAGCTAGAACCTATTATTATCAATTAATTAATTAAGCTAATGTGTGCGCACGGCGTTGAAATGGGGAGTGCTACAAATTGCAAGGTTTGAATGGAACTGAAGAATGGATAATGTTAGTTAGAGCCAGCCATAATATGGGCAGTGGGTGGAAAGTTTTTTCCTATCCAAGGTCTGCCTATGCCGCTTTAATGTTGACTTAGAACAACTTGTTTTCCTCTCCTCTTCTCCTTCTTGTGCTGAACTGGATGTATTGGTGGGTGTGAAGTGCATCTTGTCATGAAATCTTCCAGTTTCTTCCCTCTTGTTCTCTGGGCTAGAATTTGAACCTGTGTGTCGACAGGTGAAAGCCAGCCAGTCAGTCCCACATTCAGAAACGCAGTTGAATAGACATGTGAGGCTTTAAGCCCCTTTAAGCTGATTACAGCATTAGTGCAAACTCTCTGGCATGGCTTGGTGCTTCCCGCTGCTCTGTACTCCAAACGGCTCAGAGCCCATGTTCCTAGCGCTCTCCCAGCTGCAAACAGGTTTTCTTCTTTCAGAATCCTCTCGTTAGTCAGAGTGGCTCAGTGCATTGTCACTCTCTATCTCCAGGTGATGTGGCTGCCCAACACGGAGCGGCAGCTGGTGAGGCAGATTGCACCAGGTTTCCGGCAGACTTCTGACATCAAAGTGGACGCAGCGCGCTTGAGAGACAAAGGCATCAAGCTGCTGACCCTGCGATACACAAAGGTCACCCATGAGGACATCAGGTGCTGGCTTTTGTTGGTGTGAATGTCCACTAGCTCTGTGTGTGCACCTAGCCATCAAGCTGTGTGCATTTCACAAAGTCAGAGTATGTAGCTGCCCCCTCTACCCTTCCCATTGAGGTTTGCTGTGCTGTCAAGCCAGGAGGCAGAACTCAGCCCTCAGGTTCTGGTGATCACAGTCGTCCCTTCTGGAATCGGAGAGTCTTTGGCCTACCCGTTTCCAGACAGCTGCAGTCTCTCCACAATAGAGAACTGCTCCCGCTTAACAGGGCACATGGCTGACTGTCCAGCAGGAGCTTTGCTGTCTTGGGGAGGGGAGTCTATAGAGTGGTAACATCACTTTAATCAAGGGCAGACTCCATTTTCCCCTTTAATGGGCTCCTTGTGTCTGCTAATCCATTGGAGACTGTTCCTCAGCTAGGGGAAGGCCAAGTGAGGAAAAGGGACTGCAGAATGGTATCACCTCCTCATCTTCGGTCTGTTCCTCCAGAGTCTGTGAGAAGCCTGCGCTCCCTGCCGTAGTGGTGGGCAGGAGTGAAAAGCACACAGCTTTTCTCCCCATACTGTCTCATGGCAATGCGCACACAACAGTGTCCTGGTGCCACTTGGTGATATGAGGGCCTTAGTGCAGCCTACTTGAGCTTCCTCGAATTTGTCAGCCCTGTTTTCACAGCTTCCTCAGGCAAATGAGAGTGAGACGTAGGCCAGGCTGAAAGCACAAGAAGAGATGTTGAGAGGATTGTGAGTTCTTGTGAATAATTTCTGAAGCAACCCATGGATCAATATTGGACAAATAATTTGGTCAAATATTGGAATAAATTGCCAAGGGAGGTGGTGGAATCTCCCTCTCTGGAGATATTTAAGAACAGGTTAGATAGACATCTGTCAGGGATGGTGTAGACGGAGCTTGATCCTGCCTTGAGGGCAGGGGGCTGGACTCGATGACCTCTCGAGGTCCCTTCCAGTCCTATGATTCTATGATTCTATGATCAATGGGTCACAGAGCAAACTGAGGCTGAGTCGCCATCAAGAGAAAGCAGCAAATGGAGGCTCCGTTCTGAGTGAGATGCTGAGAATTTCCCACAGGCTTTGTATGCAGTGACACCCAGATGCAGGGCAGATATACAAGCCATAAGCCTTCCATAGTTTGTTCCATAGCACTGGTTCATGCTGCGGGGGGGTCTGAACGAGATTTGAAAGTGGGGAAGAGAGGAGTGCTGTCAAGCAGTAGCATAGCGGAAAGAGAGCTTATCTCCTAAGCAGTGAGATGTAGTGGCTAGTATGTTGGACTAGAACTCAGGAGACCCACTACATCAAATGCTGAGAGCAGCCTCCGTCAATGCCAGTAGTCCTCGATTTGCGAGGAGTATGGGAAGTTGACCTCCTGCTGTGGAGACAGTGACAAGCTCGACTCCAGATATGTCGTTTACGTAGTTGGAGTTGCATTCTTTAAGCCGATCTTCCGAATCAAGTGTAGACGTGGCTTCAGTGTTCCTGCCTTTGCTCCAACATGCTCTTCCACCCCCCTGACCCTGACCATTGGTATTCCAGCCTGCCCACTGTAGTAAACCTCCCTCAGGCCCAGACCACATGTCCCCAGCAGAGCCACCTAGACATTGATCTTTCTGGGCCGTTTTCAGGAATTATCTTCTGGGAACGGACCAGTTTAGAAGGGTTTACAGGATTAATGTCCTGAGAGAGCAGCAAGGCGTCTGAGACAGGCCTTAAAAGCCTTCTCAGTAGAATTCCTCTCTCCTGCTGTGTGTTATTAGGGAGTTAAATGTATTGCGTTATTGCTTCTGCATTATGGCTTTGCCTCTAGCACTGAGCTCTCGTAAAGAGGGTGCTTTATACACATTTTATAACATGCTAATTACCAGCATGGTAAAGAGGATACAGCATGGAATGTTCCAGGTTACGATATTTTCCTCTACGACAGGCATTGCTTGGTGGTGTGACAACCTTGATCTCTCAGCGCTGTCACACATTTTGATGGCATTGCACGCAGGGGTGCTGGCACAATTTTCATAGGAGCACGCTGGTGGCTTGGATGTCAAAGATCTTTCCTGATTCCTTCTTAGTTATTTACAAAGTGAGATCCCAAGACATGGGACAGTCCCATCCCAACTGGGTCCACTGTGTGAAAATTTAGACCGAGGGCAGCCCTGCATCTGACTCCTCGGACAGTACTGGATATTGTGTAGTATAAATACCTGTGCATCACGCTAGTATGTTTGCCAAAGATCCTGTGGGAGAAGAGATTTATGTGATGCTGGTCTGGCCCATTTCCAAGTGTGGGGCCTGAAGCACAAGGACAGAGCGGCTAATCTTAATAGCTCTTTACATGGAGCCCAGTATGTGATGACATTAAGTGAGCCTTGTAGAAATCAAAATATTAATTGTCCAATTCTCATTCTAGCTTCAGAGGAGGTTTAGGCATCTGATACAAAGTACATCCAGCCAGTGTTTCCACCTGATTAGCTACTGCTCTTTGCATCTCAGCTGCTGCTGCTGTGAACCTGTGATATAGGCTATGCTGCTGGTTTCTTTCAGAAATTAGTTTGTGCAGATAAAGTTGAACACCGGCTTTCAATGACCCTATTTAAATTGGCCTCGTCTCATCTTTAATTAGCCAGTGCCACATTTTCTGTAGCATCTGGGGTTTGAATTGCAGAGGGTGCAGGTACAAATGACCTCCACTGCTCAGATTAAACAGAGAAGGGATGTTTTGCCACTAGGTGGCCTTGTTAATTTTTAGGATTTATTGCTTGCCAGGTGTGACTTTTTCCTCAAGAAAGCAGATGGAAGTCAAACTGTTGGCAGGGGTGAGGGGTAGATGATATTTTAGAGCTAGAAATGAAAGTAGGTGCCATTGTGTGGGTAAACCAATGACTGAATGGCAGGATGTCCTATCCTAATGATGCTGTTTTTAAAAAAACAGATGATAGCTCACAATACACAGACCTTAAATGGCTCCGGGCCAGATTGTGCTATTGCAGTGCAGGCTTCCACTGGGGACCAGTATGGAGCTGCATTGCGTTAGGGGGAGCTGTCTGGACATGTAGATATGTTTGATCCAAGTCCTGCCTCAAAGAGCTGATGCTTTCTGAAGACCAACGGCGTGCCAAAGGAGAGCGGGAAGGAATGAAGGCAAAATATGTCCTGTAATTTTCACTGCATGAGAGGCAGAGAGGATTAGTGATAGGGCATTCAGAGATCAGGGTTTTATTCCCAACTCTGCCACTGAGTTGCTGTGTGACCATGGGCAAGTTACCTCCTCTCTCTTTGCCTTCTCCCACTCTTTGTCTTTTCTATTTAGAATTTAAGTTCCATCATATGTACAGCACCTAAAGCTGTTGGATCTGCTTGGTGCTGCTGTAGTAGAAATAAATACACCTTTTTAAACTCTCAGTCCACATCAGTTTTGGCCAAATGTACCACTCCCCCTTTTTAGCTGTCAAATTCCTTCTAGGAACGAGTTGGTAGTAACGGCTGTGTAAAACTCAAAGTGACTCCTCTTTTTCTGCATGCACCAAGTTTGCACAAAGCAGCTGGTATTGCTGCATG